GAAATACGTCTGAAATGACGTTTTTAACCAATTACTAGAGGAAGGGTAATCTGTAAAAATGAATCTCATATAAGAAACCGCTGCTGGTGAATTCTATGTATTCTTGCCACTAGACGTAAGCATATTTCATTCAGTAGTATGCAAAAAGTTGAAGAACAGTCCAAAAATGACTCTACTGACGCAAGCTTCTAAGATTTATTCAAAATAGAAAATGCTAAGAGTAGTATTGTTATCTCCTACGCCCTAAAACGTCTTTCGAACTCAACGCAACGAAGATCCATCGTCCCGAAATATCTCGGAAAACGAACTAATTCTCATGTATTGCAAAATTCACAAGAATATTTTCACATGTAAATGGAGACGCACAATATTGTTTTACTTGATTATTACATATGCGAGAAATTTTATTAGGCACATGAGCTGTGCGCTTCACAGAAGGGACTAGCTGTTATTTAGCAGTACTGCAATTGTACAAATGGTCCAATTGACTTGAGACATGGAAATCAAGGAAGTTAAAGAATTTATATCTTCCGAAATATACAATACAAGTAAAAGGTACTTATTTTTTAAGGGACGATTCCCACTGGTAAAAAACACCCTGCCTTCGGCTCACAGTGAAATGGAATTTGTGGAAAAATTGGACAAGAAAAAATAGGACTTAGTGGCTGGATTGTCCGTCATATTGTGATTCGGTTTCTGTGGAAAAAATTAATTATCTTTGCCTGATTATATTTCGAATCGTAATACATGAAATATAGTGAGTGAAGCAGTACATGAAAAGTTTCAATTGAACAGTGGCTTATAAATTGTAGCCCGTCCATAAATATCCTACTCTCTTCAGGCTCTCTCAGGCTAGTGCTCTCTTTGATATATTTCAGTGCTGACAGGTTTTGAAAGCGCGACATACTGAAATTATTTACATTGAAACAGGATTGAAGAACAAAATGAATACGAGTTGATAAGATTTCTATTTCGGGATTGAGAGTTCTACTAAATGACAGTAAAGTCGGACGAGAGTGCTGGGTGATCAAGACAGATCAACATTGAGTAGAATTGCGGCGAATCGAATTGTAAAGGTACAACTGCAAAACGGTCTGAACTGTTCGGAAGCTGAAGTTATTGCTCCTCATTAATTGACTCACGCTATTCCAAAGACTACACCATCTGTTATCTTCCCCGCGCATCATTTATTATTTCTTAATACCATATTTTCTATTTTTCATTAAAATCTCTGATGGATCCTCCTGAAGACCTCTGAACCCATGCAAAATCATGTCACATAATACATAGTAAATACCACAAGTTAAATTGCACAGAATGTTCGAACTCAATAATGCTGAAAAGGGAAATAAAAATGCCTAATCGGAATTCTAAATAATGAAAAAACACTCCCAAACCCTCCCAAATATTGTACGCTCGACATCAACTGAGTCATATGCTGGGGGCCAAAAACTTTAGAAGATTCAAATTAAACTGAGCGAGAAAATTGAAACTGTCTATACATGGTGTGCGAAGATATTTTTATAACAATTGAAATTAGTCAATCCTAATCATGTCATTTGTGATCATCTTTACTGTACCGACTGGCTTGGGTACCTCAAAGCCAGCATATCCGCTGACTGCAATGGCTCTGTCCGCAGGCCCCACGGTTTGTGTCCCGACAGTGGCGGATTTTCGGCACTGTCTATACATCTAGGTATAATTCAACCGCGGTATGAAACAGAATTTCAGCAGCCAACTGCTATCAACAGGAGTTTCCCGTGGTTTCTCCATTCAGTACCAGATAATGTGGGAGTGGTACCCTAACAAACGGGCCATTGTGATTGTTCCTTCCTCTTCCTTATCCTATCCTTTCCCCTTCCTTACACACACGTACAAGCAATACACTACCGCACATATTGGGAGCCAGCCGAGAGCTTACCATTAGAACCCGCCTTGTTAATCGGCTGGGATGGCTCCCTGCTGGAGGGAGATACCTGGACAGAGGAATCAGCCGCAACCCGACGTGAAGGTCGGCACCAGATCTCACCATCCAGCGGGGGAGAAACATCGAGAAACATCTCCAACTCCCAGAGTAAAACTTTCACTACAATTGACTAGACGATCATAGCAGTTGACATGCTCGGAAGCATCAATCAATCAATCAATCAATCAATTTGTTGTTCTATATTTTTTAGACTGTCTTATTCTGAATCAGACGCGAGAATTAATGAAAATTATGCTTACGTAATTCTATAAGAAATGCGCATACCAAGCAAAGCAAAAGGCGAACATTGTTCTGAAATGTACTTTTATTAGACACATTACTCATGCAAGAATATTTCATGACAAGATTTTGTGATAAAAGCAACACGCGGCTGCGAATTTTTAGGTATTACCATTTGACAGAAAACAAAGAACTGCCATTGCTCTATTTCCTAATACTGTGAATGACGATAACAATACGCGCGTCATAACACCCCCAATTTTCACTTTGACAGATAAGTGCAAAGAATGATAATGAGGGGAAAATAGCATTATGCTGCTTCCTCAAAGTCACTTTCATTCCCTCTTTAGTGTTGAAAACTGAATCAGAAGACTATTTCTCGTCATATGTCGAAATTTTCTTCAGAGGTTTATTTCTACTAAAAATAATGATTTAGAAATACACTAAAAATAGTTACAGGTTTTAGGAACACGATTTAAAACTAATAGAAAAAATAATTCAACAAAATTAGATAGCCATATCCAAAAAGAGTTGGCTGAGCCATTTGTAATTTCTTCTACATATCGACGGATGGCTTTATTTCTTCACATAAAAATAAAACACTTCATCGTCTGCCGTTGAACACCACAATCACAGTTTCGCGAGGGCAACGCTTTCCAATGCGTCGCCACAGCATTCACTGTTATGACGTAAACTAGTGGTTTTTACGATGATGAGTAGGCCGGATAAGGATCTCGTGAAGTTTCCCTCGATGTGACGGAAAGTAACTTAATTACAAAGGAACAATTAGGAAGGGTTTACGCCTTCCTATGAGCAATACCTTTTTTGTTTTGTTTGTAGACAAAATTCTACTCTTTTTATTAAACTACCTAATTTTTATGAAGTTAAAGTGTGTCAACACTTACTGTCACACATCAATATAACGATTTATACAAATAGTATCCATTCCTAATCCATCCTAGTAATGTACATTTTCAATTAGGCTAGATACTCGATACTATATCTCGATACACTAGATACTCGAAGTAAGACCACACTTTTCCGTCAGGAAAAATGTTCTCATTTCTTTTTAAAGTAGTAGAGATATCGATTATCTAGACAATTACGAAAGGTATCACCAATACTGTTTTACATGAAAGGTGACATCATAAGTGTAGTGGCTCTCACGATGCGACTAACTTGCAATTTCTTGCATCATGGAAGCGCTTTGAAACATGGTGGTAGAATTGGATACCAATTCGTTATCCTAGTATATTTTTGATTTTACAAACAACTGGAGGGTTACTAACAAATATATACCAAATTTAAAGTATTTTTTCCTCATTCTATGTCATCTAAATGACACACAAAATTTGCTTGCAGTCTGACATTCTTCTTGGGCATACGTAAGAAAGAGTTTCCCCACATTGCTGTATCCAAAACGCGCCTAACATTCTGTAAGTAATAGATGCAATATGTCGTATAAGTAAACTCTCGAAGCACGATGATATATTTTTGAAATAGGATATTACTCTTCACGCTGTGGCATCAACTCACAATTAACGAATCTAGACAGAGCCAGTACAATATGATAAATGACACCGTTTTTGCTACGTTTGTTCGTTTCCGGAAATAAATCATCCACAATAAACCCTTCATATCGCGGATTTCAAATGTGTGAATAATGAGAAAAATCTTTCCATTAAAACATGTTAAGAATAATTCACTCAAATTTGCAATTTCAGATAAAGACACTTTCTTCATAGTTATAAGTGTTTTCAGTGACTCGCGTATTTATCACTGTGATTGACAGTTAAATATTCATGATCAGTAGACAGATTCAAATCCAACAAATTAACCTTTAAGACTGTACCTATTCTCCTACATCTAGTGTTCACGGTATGACACGCTGGCACAGCATAGCTCGCTGAAAAAGTTTCTAATACTATCTTCGCTTTTATAATACACACGATCACATACGTCTTGAAGTTAAAGCTGTAAATTGGATGCTTCTGCACAGTGGATTACGATGTTCACGATTCTTTCCAAAGAGATCAGGAAAAAACCGTTCCACTGAACCAAATTCTAATAACAGATGATAACAGATTATAAGAACACTTATGAGACTGATAACTTTAGCAGTTGACGCGCCCGGAATCACTAGTATATCAATCAATCATCATGAATGATTCAATGAAGTCGTAAGTGATGAATTATCGGACGTACGGTGAGAACCGAAACGAGCGGCGGAGCGCTCCTCGTCGAGCGCACCTCCAGCGGAAGTCGCGCGCTTAGCGAATGCCCGGCGCCCGGCGCCGCCACCGGCTGGCGACCGCAACGCTCGCGCCGCGCCGGCCGCAAGGACGCGCCCGCGACGAAGACAC